AGAGAGAGAGGGCGCTGTCTCAGAGAGAGAGAGAGAGAGAGAGGGCGCTGTCTCAGAGAGAGAGAGAGAGAGAGAGAGAGAGAGAGAGAGAGAGGGCGCTGTCTCGCAAATACCGTTGCCCAGTAGCCTACGATTCTTCTCGCTCACCTTCTCCTCCCCCACTTCCCCCCTTTTGACTTGCTGCTGTTTCTTTCCCTGTGTTCCACTGTTTGCATTTATTATTAGGTCCTTGTTTGGCGCATTCCTGCTTGCCATCAGAGTGTGACAAGAGATCACTACACTCATGCCCAGATACAAACGCATAATGTGACGAACTCTAAGAGAACAGAGTTCCAAGAGAAAGACCATCATTGGAAGAGACACGTAATGTTATCAATCATGGAGGAGAAGCGAAGGTGTGATGAGAACGAGGAGATGACTTGGCCATCCTGCAAGCTGAGAGGGCATGAAGGCTCAGTGTACCGGCTGGCCTGGTCTGGTGACGGCAAAACTCTGGTGTCTGTCTCTGATGACCGCAGGCATGGTTTTGCTTCCTTCCTGTCTTCTTCTTTTTCTTAAAGCTTTTGCTCCCTCTTTGTTCTGTGTTTCTGTTTTTTGGGTTTCCTTTTTTTTTATGTCAATGGAGTTGAGAGTGTTGACATGATGGGTCTATCTATATTCTATACTATCAGATTCTATAGCATGCATCGACCTTTATGCAGTTGATTGAGAGTGGTAGGCTGATGGGTCTATCTGTAGCATGGATGGATGTTTATGCACTGGCTGTCAAGGTTGGCAGGTGGGGGGACCTAAAATCTATGAGGTCGTGTCTTCCCTTATCTGTATCTATACTCTTTATACAGGGAAACCCGGGTCTCGCGTGACGCCCCTTAAAGGCCCCGGTTACAGTGTTGGGAAAATGCAGTTTGGAAAGGGGGTCCTTATGGTCCCAGCACCTACCAGGCAGTTTGTTTTGGCTTCGTCGTGTTGGTTCGCTCGCGCAGCGCGTATTCGAATACAAGGATATACACGGCCAGCCCACATTCCGCTGCTCACCACGTGCTCAAGAGCACTACATGTGCGTTATTTTGGTTTCCGCCTGGCTCCGCTACTCACCACATGCACACAGGACAACATATGGCGGTGAATCTTCCTATTTCCTAGTGGAAGAGTCGTTCTCATTTTGGACCCTCCGGTGAGCAGTGGAGAGAGACCCATGTTATGTACCTGATTGAACTTCAATCCACAACGAATTCGCACGTTCCCATACACACATGCAATTGCAGAGTAGACTCGAAGGAGGCAAATCCAAACAAAACCGGAGAGAAAATATGCACAGCGGAAGCTCAGAATACACAGAGAATTGAAAAACGAATTTCAATTCTTCAATCCCTCGTCCTCCTCCAATCAATCCAGAGTGCTTGTTCCAAGAATCACAACCGCGTTTACAACAACCCCGAACAACCAAAAACAAGTGTTCAACGAAGTCTGCAGGAGTCTTCTTCTTCCTCCTCGCCACCTCATACCCCTGGTGTCACAACGAAGTCTGCAGTAACCCCTTAGCTGTCACAATGTGCCAATCTGAAACAGCAACCCTAATGATAACAGCGCCAGCTCAGCACCCGCACGGAAGTGCAGCGCTGGAAGTCCTGATGAAGAAACCGATCCAGCACTTCAAAGAAGACAAAGTTCCTCAAGAGGAGGAACAGCAAATATGGCTGCCAAATGGAAGATGGCAGCACCCAAACCCAACAACATAGTCCTGTGGAAGCTCTCATGCAGAGCTGTGAAATAGCAGCAGTGCGATCTTCAACTTTGTTTCCCAACCCCAGCTATGGCTGGGCTTCGAGGAAGAAGACGACCTCACCCAAAATAGAGCAGCAGCGGTCCAACAACGGACGGGCAGAGTTTCCCCAGCCAACGAAAACGTGAAAAGACCCAAACCAAATTTCCTGCCCGCTACTTCTACCCTCTGCCTAGACCTACGACGGACTCCAAAGGCCACAACCCAATACTCATCTGCATCTAGATGGAAACAGGGGGGAAAGGGGACCTAGACCTATGACAAGGCAAAAGGAAAAGGCCGAATGGCCTAAGGCTACCAAACAGAGACTAGTAGTGACAGACTTAGGGATCAAGTCCCATAGGGATCAAGTCCCATAGGGCTCAAAACTAACAAACAAAACATACAAATTACAGGTCACGGGATCAAGTCCCACCAAGGCTCAAAACAAGAAAACAAACTACAAAGCCAAACACTTAGTGTATAGCCGCACTGGGAAACTGCGATTTATTGCACCCATATAGATTCCTTCTATAGCGTAGATCCGTTGTCTCTCTTTTGTTTTTCCTTTCCTGTACATTCTTTTTTTGTATGTGTGATTTCCCTGTAGATTCTCGCTCCACTGCTCACCGCATGCTCCTCTACTTTCTGCGTGCACTTTCTGCGTGCACAAATGACAAAAGAAAAAATATAGCAATGTATCTCTCCGTGTTCTAGCAGAGGATGCAGTCTCATTCTGCACATTTGAAGGGTAGTGGACTGAGGTCCCGTGTGTGTCTCCAAGTGTGCAAAATGAGACTGAATCCTCTGCTTGAACATGGGAAGATAAATTGCCACTTGTGGAGTGAGGCTGATGGTCAGACCCTCCAAGTGTGCAAAATGATGCAGTAACCCTGTTCAGAAGTAGCCTGGGGCTCAGAACTCTGTCCCAGGAAACGCAGACCTGGGTTGGTCTGTGCGGGGCTGTGTGACCAAGACACGCCCAGGCCTGAGTCTGTCGAGTGTGGCTGTGTGACCGAGCGCTGCACACAGGGAATTCAAAAGTCAAAGTCAATTGTAGAGTCAAAGGTACCGCACCCAGGCCCTTGGTTGGATACACTCACTTGTTGTGCGCAGGTACCCAGACAGCATCCAGGGCAGGAGGAATACAGTTTCAGATCAATCTGGACCCTCATCCACATTGAGATCTGGACGGCTGAGGCATACAGCATCCGGGGTCCAGATCCCGCGTCAACACTACATAAGAGCTGACTTCCTGCCTTTGAGGGTCATTCAGTCTTGCGTTAATGCTGGCTTCACGCATTGACTTTGACGCTGCTACAACGCTGCGACAATGGCTGGACGCTGGCTCTATGCTGGCATATGAGGAGAGACGGCAACTCGCTGCTGGCTGGCATGGTGGCTGGCTGGCAATTGTCTTCTTGGCATGCTGACGTGGCAGCTGCCACGCGCCGTCGCTGACGTGGCCGCTGCCGCATGTACTCTGACGTGGCGGGGCTACGTGATTGATAGTGCTGTTCTGATTCATTGTCACTTCGGAAGGAGATCAAGACTGTGGGGTTATCGTGGATACGTACCTGGTATCTTGATGTCGACATTCTCCAGTTTGCTGATGATGACAGGCTGATGTGCCACGTGGTACATTGAGAGAGAACTTCAGATTTGTGTTCGGGTTATTGA